GTCTGGGAGGGCAAAGCCCCCCCTTTCCTTTATATCTGTCAACAACTTAAATTGAATTCTAGGCTTCTTGCCCTGCCAAACGTATCTTGAGATCGCTCTTTGCCACTCCCCGAAAACTCTTCCCCCCTTAATTATGGGGATGGTCTGAAACAGAAACAACAGTCTTGGTAGCACACTCATCTTGATTGAATTAATTCTTCCCCAGAATGACAACTTCAATCTTCCCCACACCTCCAGATCCCTTTTTATTTTATTCCACACTGGATCGTAGTTGTTTTTGAACAGATCTATATTTTTGGAAGTCACCCATATTCCCAAGTATTTCACTTTTTTGACTACTTCTATCTGTGATTGTTGTTGCACCTTTTCTATTGTATTAGGATCCATATTTTTGGTGATCATTTTAGTTTTCTTCTTATTTAGTTTGAAGCCTGCCACCTCTCCGAACTGCTCCAATTCCTTTAGGACTTCTTCTACTGCAGTTGTTGGTTCTTCAGTCATTATTACCAAGTCGTCCGCAAAAGCCTTGATCTTATACTCGTTATGTCCGATTGTCACCCCTTTTATATTCTTATTTTGCCTAACTGAATTCAAAAGGACTTCAAGCACTGTTATGAATAATAACGGAGAGAGCGGGCAGCCCTGTCTTGTTCCCTTTTGTATCTTTATTTCTTCTGTTACAACATTATTTATAATCAATTTGGCTTTCTGCTCTGTATAGATTGCTTTTATCCCATTGAGGAGGTCCTCACCCACTTCCATATGTTCCAAGTTTCTCAGCATGAATTCCCATATCACGTTATCGAATGCTTTCTCTGCATCCACAAACATCATTACGGCTTCCTTGTCGTTCCTGGCAGAGAGATATTCCAGCATGTTGATAACGTTTCTTACATTGTCTCTCAACTGCCTGCCCGGAAGAAAACCAGCCTGGTCTTTATGTATTATTTCTGCTAGCATAGTTTTCATCCTCTTTGCAAGGATCCCTGCAAATATCTTATAGTCTGTATTCAGGAGTGAGATCGGTCTATAATTTTTGACTGCCCTGAGATCTACGGATGATGGGCAGTATACAAAGTTTGATGATGATGATGATGATGTTTGCTAAACTATGCATTTTAATTATGTTTAATTGTATTTTTAAAATTGATCTTATTCTTGTTATGTCACTGCACGCTTTTATTTGTTTCTGAACCACCATGGTGTCTCTTCCTAAAATGAAAGGCCGCATATGAAATCTTTTTAATAATTTCTCTGTGTGGTGATGTACACATGTAAGAGTTTTGGCTCAAATCTCCACATGCCTGTGTGCATTCAAAACGTTGGGTTACATCCAATGTTCATTCTACTCAGAGTGAACTCATTGAAATCAATGGACATGGCAAATTTTAGTTTACTGATTTCTGAGTAACTCAAAATGCCATTATAGCTCCTAAAAAGCTGTCCTCCATTCAAACTCTTCTTCTTTCCTAGCTCTGCTCCTTTCAGAAACCTTTTGGAGGAGAGGCAGAGAAACTGAACAAAAGCCAACCAAGTTACCCATGACGGCACTCGCTCCCCGCAAAACCCAGTCTCAGGAAGTGGCCTTATTCCACCCCAGCGCTATGCCTTAGTGGAGGGTATTTCGCTACGAATGATGAAATCCCCAACTTAGTTCAGACAGAAGATGTGTCTTCTCCCTCCTTCCTGCCTCCGCCCCACACCCCTCGCATGAAACGGTCCCCTGATCAAAGCTGCAGGAATGACTGGCACACAGTAATGAATACCCATCCATCCCGAGCTGAGAAAAAGGGGCCCGCATCGAAGGCAGGGCCTTTTCTTCGCAAGAGGTTTTCCCAGTTTGAAACTCCACTGTCTGTCAACTCCAATGATATGGCTGGCACTGGGGCTCTTTCCACTGTATTGCATTCTTTTATGTTTGTGAGAGTGGGGGTCGGAGAAGAAATTCTGAAGAAAGAACTGAAATGAAACTTTTAATACTGTAACATTACAGAAGCCAGTGGAGGGCCCAGGGTGAGGATGCAGCAGCATGAGAATAAAAGGGGGAAAGTGGGGTGGGGAGAAAAGAATGAGATTAATAATATGAAAACACACATGCACCAAACAGAAAAACTCTGTATTATAGTCAGAAACTTCTGGAGCATGGCAGGGAGAATCTTGCTCACAACACCACATATTTAGAAGCTGCAGGCAGGCTGAAGATTACATTTTTCCTTCCAAGCTCTGTAGCAACAAGAGGAAAGACTGGGGGAAAATATTTGAGGAAGCTTTCCTTACTCTATCACTGTAACACAAAAAATAAGAAGAGACTGCAGGATGATGCCAGTGACCCATCTACTCCAGCATCCTGTTCTCACAGTGGCCAACCAGATGCCTATGGGAATCCCGCAAGCAGGATCTGAGCTGAACAGCACTTTCCCTTCCTGAGGTTTCCAGCAACTGGTATTCAGAAGCAGCCATCATGGATAGAAGCCATTGATAACCTTCTCCTGCATGATTCTCTCTAATCTTTTAAAACCAGTGCTTTTTTCCAGGGGATACTCAAGGGTTCACAGTACTAGCACCTTTCTTTTTTTGGTTAAAAAGTATGGCACTTACTGTAACAACTTCATGGTGAGTACTGGCACCTCTTTTTCTAGTAAAAAAAAAAAAAGCACTGTTTAAAACCATCCAATTTGGTGACCATAACTGCCTCGTGTTGGAGCAAGTTCCATAGTTACGCGCGGCATAAAGAACTTTATTTTATCTGTCCTGATTCTTCCAACATTCAGCTTCACTGGATGTCCACAAGTTCTAATGTTATTGGGGGGGGTGTCCTTTTCCTATCCTCTTTCTCCATGCCATGCATAATTTTGTCAACTTCTATCATGTCACCACTTACTCAACATAGGAACAGAGGAAGCTGCATTATAGCAAATCTGAACATTCGTCCATCTAGCTCAGTATACTCTATGCATTCCAGTGTTTTGGGCAAAGAACATTGCCAGCCGTAACTGAAGATGCCAGAAATTGAACCTGGGACCTTCTGCATGCAAAGCAGATACTTTTCCACTGGGCCACAGTCCTTTCCCAACAGCTCTCCTCTGTCACATTCCGGAACCTGGACATCACCATTTCATTCCATTTGCTAGGACTGGCATCACCTGTAGATCCAGCAGCCAGGACAAATATGCCATCCATCCAAAGGAAGGGCTGATGTCGGGACTAAGTGGATCTTTGTGCCAAATTCAGTGGGTCACTCCTTATGTTCTTAAGCAATGCAGGAACCACTCACTAGAAATTTTTAATCCCTCTTTTTTTGTCTTTCGAAAAGAGAGGGGAGAGACAGAAGCTACACAGGAGATAGTGTGAAATCCATCTGTTCTTTTTATCTCCTCCTCCTCCTTTTGAATGAGGCTTTCTTCTTCCTTAATTTGATCCGTGTTGCTATCAGCAAAAAGAGCACTGAAAAGCCATACAGCGCATTCAGCCAAAAGCAGATAATGGAGAAAAACTCATAGCCGGAAGAATTTCATACGCCGGTGATCCGATCTATCCTTTTCTTTTTGAAATGGAGAGTGGCTACTTGAGAACAATGCAAAGAACCTGATTCTATAGACTCACCTGACTACAGGCGAACATTTGCCCTAACTGGAGGGCATTTTGCACACCAGATAGCATCCCCTTCCGTTATTTAGAAAAATGAGGCTGGGTTTGGTTTTTTAAAAAAATAAATAAGAAGTCTAGTATCTGATTGGCAGGCCAGCCTGAGAATAAATAAATTTGTCATTCTTTCAGGGTAGGTGGTGGGGGGAAAGCAGATATGAAGTTGTGAATCAACATAGCGTCCCTTTTCAAATGCAACGCTAAATGATGGTTTAGCATTACATGACTGAGCCTCAGGCTTGAATGATTTCTCCTCCCCTCTCCTCTGCTTCTACTTTTAAACTAACCACAGCTCCCCATTTTGTCAAAGTATGGGAGAACACCATGGTTTACAACCCTGACTTGTTCAATAACCATAGTTCAGACTAACCATTTCCCAAGTTTGGACATTACAGGGAACCATAGTTAGTTTAAAACTGGAAGTGGATGCTTCTAGTCTTCTCCTCATGCAGCTGTGGAAGAGGAGGGCAGTGCGAAGTGTGCATGTTACACACCTAGGGTTACTTTAGAGATGGCACGGGAGAAAGATCACGAAAGAGTTGTCGTTCTGTATGCTCCAAAGGCAAGTGCTTAAGAACACTGATAACACGAGGGGCTTAAGTTTCAAGACAATAGTGTTCAGGTTCTGTTACCCACAATGGAACTTCAAGGGGGAAAACTTAAGTTACTCCAAAAGAAGTTACTGGAGCACTCCAAATCATTTGTTCATGTATGTACACAGAAACTAGTAGATCTAGCTGAAAGATTTGAATAGATCATTGCAATGCCTAATCATTGGTAGTTTCTAAGATTACTGTACAGTGGTACCTCGGGTTACATATGCTTCAGGTTACAGACTCCGCTAACTCAGAAATAGTACTTCGCTTCAGGGTGCAAATAGAACTTTGCTTCAGGATGAGAACAGAAATCGTGCTCCGGTGGCGCGGCGGCAGCAGGATGCCCCATTAGCTAAAGTAGTGCTTCAGGTTAAGAACAGTTTCAGGTTAAGAACGAATTAAGTTCTTAACCCGAGATACCACTGTGTAAGCTTAGAAGGTAATATTAATCATATTAGAAGGGGGCATGGCTGTGAGGGGGTATGGCTGTGGCTATCTTTAAGGGATCTGACACTTCTGAATTTGCCAGTGTGCTACTGGGAAGAACCAACCACTGAGTTCTACAAGGGTGGAAAGTGACAGCTGCTCTAAGAAGGAGGAAAGTGACAGCCGGTCAAGGGCAAATGAGACCAGTGAGGAAGTGGCCCATCGAGACTTACAGACTAGCCTCCAATGCCTAAAATGGTTTGAAGGGCAGAATATCAGTTTTGCAATTATTATTAATAATAAATAATAAATTAATAATAATAATAATAATAATAATAATAATAATAATAATAATAATAATAATGCATCCCTTGGCTCTAAGGGTCTAGTCACTGAAAACAAGCACCCTAAGATGACAAGAGCATGGCTTCCAGTTTCAGTTTTGCATTATAGCTACCCACAGGCCTGGCTGAGAATTGGTGCCAGAATCCCCATGTTGCATACAGTTTGTCTCACTTGCTTGAGCTATCTTAGTACCATTTGTTCTATAAGCAGCACCCATACCTATATGTCCTGGGGTATGCACAGGTTGGAGAGGTGGGTGGCCTTTGCCTTTCAGCCAGAAGACTGAACAGATGGTCTTCTTTGACTGCTCTTGCATTTATGGTGCTGAGTTGGGGAACCTCTAATTACCATAAATATTTTGTACAGTTTAAAGCTGGTAGGGGGGAGATAGGTCACAGAAGGATTTTCCTCCCTTTTTGGTGTGACCAAGATTGGACAAAAATAGATGTTCCCAGTTCACAGAAGAGCTCTCTCTGCTCTCCACCCAAACCAAAATGAGCTTGTCACCCCTTCGGCATGTCATTTGTCATCAAGCGGTGTATAATTATAATGGACTTTATTGACATTGTAACTATGAGTGCACAGGTGGTATTCATTTTCAGCACTTTAATTGAAGACAATGAAAGATCTTGTAATACGGAGCCGACATGGTGGATTAATCAGACTAGACCTCAGCTTTCAATAGCCATGACCTTCAGGTCATAAAATTACCGATCAGGAGTTAAAAAAAAATTATGATACAGAAGTGGAATACTATTGATTTCTTTTATTTTTAAACATAGAGCAAATGGAAAGATGAACTGGCTTGCTTAGTTTTCATGAGGATCCAAGGAGTAAAGCACCTTGATGGATACTAATAAGAGGTGCAAATATAAATTGTAATCCTTGTGTCAAATATTGCACACAGAAGCAAGATTTGCACAGGAATCTACCACTTAACCCAAACTGCCATATCCCCAGCCTTGAAGAATGAACACACTTGCTTGGAATTCAACTCAATTTCAGTGAAGCCGATTTCATATAAACAGGTTTAGGTGTAGGGCAGGGACAGCCCAGAAGCTGAATAAGGCCCTTGCTATAGGCCATGACCTCTGCCTAAGCCACACCCCTTCTCCCTAAGCCACACCCTCACTAGCCCTGTTTTGCATCCTCCTTGAGTGTCAGGACTCTGCTCTTGAATAAATCTATGTTGACCATCATTATCTCCACCTTGGACCTGGCTCCTTAATATTAGCACCGGAATTGTCTCAAATAACATGATTCTTGGGCCATGGAACTGAGGGGAAATAATGGAGAATAACAAATCATACAACCTGTAATGCTGCTCATGGTGGCTTTATGATCCGTTCATGCTTCAGTGTTCCTTGGGGGATCAGGAGGCAAGCCATCCCGTAAAGCTAAAAGTTGGAAGATTCAGGAGAGACAAGAAGAAGTCCTTCTTCACATAGCACATGGGATTTGCTACCACAAGTAGTATTGATGGCCACCAACTTGGATGGCTTTAAAAAAGGGTTAGACAAATTCATGAGAGATAAGGCTATCAATGACTGCTAACCACAGTGGCTGTGTTCTACCTCCACTGTCAGAGGCAATTGGCCTCTGAACACCAGCCACTGGGAAGTGCGGATTTGTGTGTTTGGGGGAGCAGCAGTGCTGTTCTGCTAATGGCCTACTTGTGGGCTTCCCAGAAGCATCCAGTTGAGCACTATCATGGGCGGACTTTGGTGTTTCAAATTTCAGAGGAGCCCTGTGCGAGGTCAAAATTTTTGCGCCTCCCCCACTTCCTTTCTGCTCAGTTCACAACATCATAGTTGTGACGCCCTGCAGCACTCCCTAGGCCTGATGCCACTGCAATTGAACTAGTTGTACTGCCTTAAATCGTCTTCTGTCACTGTGAGAACAGGATGCTGGACTGATGGGTCTTTGCTGTGATCCAGCTGCAGGGCTTTTCTTAACTGAATAGATTATGCCTGGACCAGTCAGCGTCTCTTACCTAAGATCTAGAAAAGGCTGTGTCCTTGTCTCTAAAGAGGTTTACAGTTCTGCAGCAGTGTGGACAGAGATTTCATTGTCCTTGTCAAAGGCCCATTTTTTGTCATCAGCTGCACTGAAGAGACAACAGACAGTCTGACTGCTGTTTTACTGGAAAACCAAGTGCCCTCTCTTACTGCGGCCCCTATCTCTCATCCATTGTCTTTGAATCTCCCTGCCTTTCTGAGGCACCCTGCCCCATTCAATTTACAAGTAGCAATGCTTTTATTCCTCTGGTTACATTCACTTCTTCGTCCTGTCTGCTTCCAACTGGAGAAATTAATCTGAATGACTGTGAAAAGGGACCTAAGCTGTTGGTTCATGAAATCATTTCCGGAGTAGGGACTGCTATGCCAGACCCCTTCTGGGATGTCTCTGTCCACCACGGTGAGAAGGACAATTCCAGTCACTGCCAGTTCAGGAAGTGGAAGAAAAGTAAAGACAAGGCTGAAACAAATGTAAAAGAGGTAGCAACAGAGACAGTGGCCATGTGCTCTATTTTACAGATGACACTTTCTATTTGTAACCCATTCTAAAAATTAGAAGAGCCTGGCTGCTGGATCAGTCCAAAAGCCCAGCTCTCCAGTATCATCTTCCCACAGTGACCAACCAGATGCCCCAATGGGAAGTCCTCAAGCAGAATCCACTAAGGATGGGGCAGGTTTTAGTCCAGAAACATCTGGAGGATACCATATTGGCTACCCCTACTGAACCTCATTTCACAAAGAGAGCTAGGAAGGGAGGCAAACACATCAGAACTGCTCCAGTCGGATCCCAACACCACTGCAACATCAAGTGCCATGTTAGCCCAGAAGGGCCAAGCACCATGAGAACCTAAGAAGAACCTGGTTGCCAGCTTGTGTCTTCCAACATCCTCTTCTCACAGTGGTCTGGAAAGCAGGGTATGAGTGCTTTGCCACTTGTGATTCCCAGCAACTGGTATTCAAAGACATAGGCTGTGTCCATATCATCTTTAAAGCACATTCTACTCCCATGCAAAGAACCCGAGGAAGTGTCATTTGTTAAGGGTGCTGGGAATTGTAGCTCTATGGTATGTACATAGCCATATTGCTTCTGATTCCCTTAAGAACTATATGAAGGAAGAGCAAGGCCCATTAGCAGTTAGCACCTGGACAACAGACTCAGCAGGCCCACAGGTCTCTTGGTCACAGTCCTCCCAGCTGCAGAGATATATAATTCTATTCTTCCAAATTTTCGCCAATAAGTATGTAAACCAGCAGATGCAAAAGTGAAGCACACCCTTTTTGTGTGTGTGTGGCCTCCCTAGGAACAGGAGTAGGAAAATCCTCTTGATGCTCAGCAAGCAAGCATGCTTGACCCAGAAGGAAACTTTTATGGGAATCAGAAAGTACCATATGACATGTTCCAGCCTATTATAAGGAAACCTGACTGCTGGACAAGCAAGGGAGAGATTTCACAACAGTTTACAAAAAAGAAGCTGTTGCATCTCAGTAGCAGGGCATATGCTTTGCATGCAGAAAGTCCCAGGTTCAGTCCCTAGAAACTCCAAGTGGGACTGAGAAAAATCTGTATCTGAAATCCTGGAGAGTCACTGCCAATCAGAGTAGGCAGTATTGAGCTAGATGGGCAAGTGACCTGATATGGTATAAGACAGCTTTCTATGATCCTAGAGAGAAAAAGAGAACATGACCAAACACAAACCACATGGAGGACAAAGCTAACAATGGCTACTAGCCATTGTGGCTATACTCTGCTTCCACAGAGGCTAAATGCTGCTGAAAACCAGTTGATGGAAACCACAGGGAGGAGAGTGCTATTGTACTCAGGTCCTATCTGAGGGCTTCCCATAGGCATCTGGTTAACCACTAGAACAGAATGCTGAACTAGATGGGCCATTGGCCTGATCCAGCAGGCACTTTTATGTTCTTACAAAAAAGGAAGGAAAGCCTCAAAATGATGCTGAAAAATATATGAAATATTAGTCTGTTGTAGATGGGTTCCCAGTGCTCCCCCATCCCCAAAAGACCAGTTTTGGCCTCTGGGTGTACTTACTGTCCCAGCCTGGTCATGATGCTGCAGAGATTTAGTACCACACTCTTTTAAACTTATTATATGTATAATATACATATTTTTGCATGTAATTTTTAGTATGCTTTTGCATATTAGTCACACATTTTTTTAAAATACAAGAGATCGCCTGTGAGCAAAGCTTGAGTGGGTCGAAACAGCTAAATTCTACATTTAAATCCGTTTGAAACAGATTCCCTCTCCGTCCTTGCAACCAACTGTATTATCTGTATCTGCTGTTCAATAACCTCCAGATAACCTTAACGCTCTTTACCTTTGTGGACAGGAGATCATCCATCCTAAATGTCGTGGCTTTTTGTTTCCAGAAGCTGCAGTGAGTTAAACATCTATTTAAAAAATGTGTTACCTGTGTCAGAATATGGCTGCCATGTTGAGCCCTGAGCGTTTGACACCTGGCGTGTTTGGGGGAGGAGGCAGATGTTTTCTGATAGCGTTTCTGTTGCCGCTGCATCGAGAGCTACGCCAGCCGTGACCTCTGTGCACTCACCCTTGACTTCTTTATCAAGTCCAAGACACACACAATGTCTCGCCTCCATAGCTGTTCATATTCATCAGGGGCTGGTAGTTCTGACAAGTCAATGCTATTGTGGGGGAAGATTTAAAAGAGAGAAGAGGAGGGGGGATCACTTTCATGCCATTGTTGTCACATTTAAAGGGGGGGAGCAGGCACAATTTTCTTCCTGCATCAGAGATGCTGTTTCCGTGATGAGGAGGGCAAAGTCTCTCTGGCCATACAGCTGATCTGGGGAGCCAAGCATGGCGTGCGCTGAAGCAAGAATGGGTTTTCTGGAAAAGCTGGTTATGACGACGTGTCGAGAGCCAGACGGCCTTTTCATAACTGGCTTTCAACAGAAATTCATTTATTCAAATGAAAACCACACCAAGGCAGCAAGCAGCTGGCAAGTGTGTGTGCTCATTTCAATTCTAGGTGTTTGGCTGGTGCGGGAATAGGACTGGAAGAATGGCTGGGTACAAACTATACATTTAGAGCACATTGCTTTTTGCCCAAAGAATCCTGAGAACTGTAATTTGCTAAGGGTGCTGGGAATTATAGCTCTGTGCGGGGGGTAAGCTATAGTTCCCAGGATTCTTTGGAAAGAAATAATGTGCTTTAAACATATGGTACGTATGAAGCCGCCATTTCTAGTTATGACTGAAAATATTTGGAGGCTTGAGGCAGAAAATCTAAATAGCACACCACACTCCAATGGTGATTTGAAAATATATTAATAAACTGATAATCTGCTACCCCCTCCTGGTGCTGCCACCTCAAGTGGACTGCATCATCACACCCAAGTGGGGCGAACCCTAAGCATTTCTGAGCTAACTGTAAAACAATGCTTATATTTTGGTTACATTTTTATAAACTGGGAAGCGCTATAAATTGGTAATAATCTGTTCTACATGCAAAAGGTCCCAGGTTCAATTCTCAACATCTCCAGATAGGGCTGGGAGAGTCCCCTGTCTGAAACCCTGGCAGCACTGCTGCCAGTCAGTGTAGACAATACTGAGCTAGATGAAACAATGGGCTGAATCAGTATAAGTTTGCTTTTAAAGGTGACATTTTGACATTTACACCTCACCCTTCTCCTTCTCACAAAAGCCACCATCAGTTTAGGCCTGGCATAGGTAAACTTTGCCCTCCAGATGTTTTAGGACTATAACTCCCATGACCCCTAGCTAACAGGACCAGTGGTCAAGGATGATGGGAATTGTAGTCCCAAAACATCTGGAGGGCCAAGTTTGCCTTTGACTGGTTTAGGCCCTCCGGTGAATGAATGTGGAGGAAAAGACCTGAAGGAACGTCTCCACCCCCATCGTTCAGCCCGGACACTGAGATCCAGCGCCGAGGGCCTTCTGGCGGTTCCCTCATTGCGAGAAGTGAGGCTACAGGGAACCAGCCTTCTCGGTAGTGGCGCCCGCCCTGTGGAACGCCCTCCCATCAGATGTCAAAGAGATAAATAATTACCTGACATTCAGAAGACATCTTAAGGCAGCCCTGTTCAGGGAATTTTTTAATATGTAACGCTGTACTGTACTGTTTTTAACACTGATTGGGAGCCACCCAGAGTGGCTGGGGAAACTCAGCCAGATGGGCGGGGTATAAATAATAAATTATTATTATTATTATTATTATTATAAGGGTTGTCACCAATGTTAGTTCTACTCAGAGTAGACACACTAGCATTAACTGACATGGCTAAGATAGGTTCGTTAACTTCAGTAGGTCTACTCTAAGTAAAAAGCATTCCACTTAGCAAAGATTCCAACTGAGAAAATCTTTTGACTTTGGAACTTCCTTTACATCTGTCCTCTCACCACCCTTCAATTGGATATTATATCTGAAACACTAATCCAGTCAAAAACATGCATTGCCAGAGAGCAGAAATATCTTGGATAAGCTTGAGGTTCAACTATTTAAGCACATAAACCCACACAAAACTCTCCTCTGAGTAAAACTTAGTTGGATTTAGCCCAAAGATTGTTTAAAACATGACAAATATTTGGCTCCGCAACCTTTCAGCTTCAAAACTAGTTTTGTTAAATCATACTACAGTATTTATTTCCATTTATAGACCACCCTTCACCCATCAACAGTCCTAGGGCTGATCACAACAACAAACACATACACAACAAATTAAAATTCAAAATCACAACAACCTAAATAAAAAGCCAAACCAAGTTTTATTATTGTTTATAACCCATGGCCATTACAATATAGACACAAAATACTTATGTGTAAACACAGACAAGGGTCATCAATACAGTAACACAGGTATAAACCCTGAAAATAAGCAGGATTTAAAACATTCGTTTAGTTAAAAGCTCCCCATGATATTTATCGCTGATCTGACTCAGAAACAGTTCGTGCACAGTAATCACTGAATAACCTTATCTTCTAGTCAATGGCAATGAAGATTACACCCACTCACGCACCGACCCATTCACACACCCTCTTGATCAAAGCAAAATTCAGTTCCCCGTAACAATTCCCCAACCACGTGGAAGCCTCTCTCCCTTTGCCAGTCTGCTTCCTGCTACTGGCCCTTTAAGGAGCTGGCGCGAGGAACACGAGGCAACCGTCGCGAAATATTTGCCAGCTGGCGCGCCTGCGGGCTGAGAGCTGATGCGTTTTCCCGCCCAAACTGTGGTAGCTTTTTTTTGTGGAACGGGACACGATTGCAGAGAGGGACAGTGCAGGAGAGCACCTCCTTTATATATATATATACTTTGCATGAGGAAAGAGTGTTGTTTATTCAAAACATACATATAAGCCCCATTGTCTGCCAAAAAGAAAGGGAAAAAGAACAAAGCCTAGAGTGTATTATTGTTTTTTTCATTTATGAATTGTTTCCTATAAAACATCCTGCAGCGATTTAACAATAAAACTGTACAAACTGAAACACATGAAAGGCTAATAAAAATAGCACATGCCCTGTCCCCGAATGTAAACTTGTGAGGGAAACATACACTTTTTTCTCTCTCTCTGAAGAGGTCAGGGGTATGTACGTAGTTTCCCCGTTTTTTTCAGACCTCTTGTGATTATTGTTACCTCAGAATCACAAATAACCTTGGTTGTTAATAGAATATTAAGACAAATACACATACACAGCTGTAGTCAGTGCTAGTGCTACTCAAGAGTAGACGCATCAGAATTGCTAAGGACCTCTTGGACTGGGTTTTGTTGGGGGATTTTGTTGCTGTTATTGATATTTTTCGTATATTTATTTTTGGATCTTTTGTTTTATGTGAACATTGTTCAATTTGGTTGTGTTCTTTTTGATGCGTTTTATTTATTGTTTAGTTTTATTGTATTTGTAATTATGTAAATATTTTCATGGTGTCAGCTGCCTTGAGTATGGCTTTAACAATGGAAAGGTGGTATACAAATAGTATCTTAACACCTTCATGTAAATTCTGACGCAGCAAATAAATGATGTAAATAAATAAATTCACAAATACACTTGGGGGATACAAATTTAGCCCCCACCTTTTTCATTTAATCTTAAATATATCCAAGGTCAAGCTCTGAATGGTGCTGTGACTCTTGACTGCCTCTCCTCACAGACACTTGAAATGGCATCTGTGATTAAAGAGTACCTCATAATTCTATTTCTGTGAAGGATGATTTACCTCAGGAGTCTCCATTTTGTCAGTCTTGGTACACAGAGATCAAGGTTCATTACTTAGACCTACCTGTGTTGGATAGGTAGCTGTTGCTCTCATATACCCTTTTTCATATACTTTTCTTTTCACAGCAAAAATGACAATTTTAATCCCTCATTGTAAACTCAAACAATCTTTTCTTCCTCAGACATAGTGACTTCTTGTTTGCTCTACCCTAGTTTTGGCCCTCGTTTTGGCTCACTCCATACTTAATAATCTGGAATAATCCAGAGAATCTCTCTTCCCACTCAGCTTTTTTTGCTCAAGGTACAAACAATTATAATGTAGTAGTAGTAGAAATAATAATAATAATATCCTAGTTTCCCCTGATTAGCATGCCTGCTTCATCTAGCAATCACTGATGAGGTGAACAGCCCTTCAGCAAATCTCATTGTGTGAATATAATACAGGGTGAAAACAGTGTTAAGAAATGCCCAATCCACATTTTGGCTGAAAAATCCTATACCCACTCATTGGGAAGTAAGCCTCATTGAGTTAAATTACTTTCAAGTAGACTGTAGGATTGTACTGAAAACTGTCTTTACAATGTAGCATCCCCATTTCCATCTTTTCTTAACTATACTGTACTCTGTATTTGGGAAGGGGGGGGTTCCATTCCTTCTAGGATTCCCATATGTCCTCTTTTTCCAGGACACGTCCTCTTTTTCATGGGTATGTAAAATGAAAGTCGTTACTGTATAGCAATCCATAATTAAAAGTAGAAGTCAACAAATGTCCTCTTTTTTGCTCTTCAGAATATGGCACCCTACTTCTTCCTCCATTAAACTGGCCCTCACAAAATTGGCCAGCAAAGTCATGACTTCTTTAGTCCATCCCTTTTACATCCCCCATTTGTCTTAGTGCTTACTGAAAAAGGATCTATGAATAGATTTCTGTTTTCAGTTAAAAGCGGTTGCAACATACTCTACTGGCAGTTATTCCGCTCAATTAAATAGGGCGTATTGGGGTGCAGTTTTATGTCTAACCATATGTGTAACCATTCTTAATGCCCTCACAATTCCCAGAGTTCCTTGCAGGGCACAAAGGCCATTTACTGATGTAGGTTGGCAAGATAAGACAATATCCGTACTCTCAATTTAAACTGGTTTAATTGTCGCACTTTCATGCACAGTATCCTGGTAATTGCAGTTTTCTGAAGGCTAGTGAACTTCTAACAGAGAATCAGCTTTTGCAGTTGAGTAATACAGCATGCTGAGGGAAAATACTGAACCCCCCATTAAGATATACTCTTGAGTTCTTGTTGATTTTGGTGTCACAGTTTGGCTTATTATCTTGGCAGTGCTGGCAACAAGCAGCTTCATACCTACGACTCCTTTTAAATCTCATTATATCCATCTTGAGATGCAGAAGATGCTTAACCTTCCTTTAGTGATTCCACACTATTTAATATTACAATTCAGATGTATCCACCAGTAACACTTTACATATTTTAAAAACTTTGTCTTTTAAATGCCTCTTTGAGGTAATCTGATTCAGTCATTAAAAAAAAAAGCCCACTAATCCATTTTCAATGGGCAATGAATTATTTAACACTGTATTTGAGGGAAGAATATACTATTGATAGTTGCCTAGGAGGCATAATTGGGCTGCATCTTGCTGCCTAAGACAGCTGGAAGTTTCTGTTTCTTTCCAAGTTAGAATTTTTAAATATGGAAATAGGGCACCTTAACTTTCGAAGGATCTATAGGAAAAAATAACTAGAAGTTAAAAGGAAAGACTTTCAGAATATATTAGCTGGATACACTTTATCCATGTTTAAAAATAATAATAATCAAAAGTTGTGAAATAACCACAGTTCTGTTTGTTATGTATTATCTCCAGACAGCATTCATTTATTTTCACTTATCTAAGATATGCCAGAGATGGCCTGATGGATGAAAAGTAAAAAAGAAAGCCCAACAAAACACAACTCTGATATCTGTCAGTGAATATGAGTACAGTCCAAGGAAAACAGCTTTGAGAACTGACATTACAAAGGGCTTTTAGGCACACTGTCAGTGTACTGATTGTGACTCCTTTTTGATGCCAGTATGTGTGAGGCTTGGAAGTTTTGAACATCCCACAAAAAGTCATTTTTACTTTACAATCTGGGTTTTAAAATGAATGTTTTACAATATACCAGAAAGTCACTAAGGAACCACAACACTTTTTGGCTTCTTGGTGCTGCAGACTTATGGCAGACAATTTTTAGAATTCAGCTTTTGTTAACTCCTAAAAACCCTTTTACTGTTTTTATTGGTTTCTGCTGCTCATTTTTTTGGAAAAAAATTTATTGCTGCCATCAGTAGTTCCTTAATCCTTTTTATCTTTTTAGAAATAGTGAATGCCAGGAGAATAAACATAAAGGAATAGGCTGAGTGGGTGGTGCTAGTGATAGGGTGGGGGTGGACAAATGCCTTCCCCCAAAATTCCCTGTACAGTGTCTGCGCACTGTCTGAATTAGAAATATAGAATGTCAACAGAATGTGAACTGTTTCAAAATGTCTAAGTTTGTAATAAATTCAAAGAGCTGCTGTAGGCTAGTCCAGAGGCTTGGGCTAGAGTGCATTTGGGGAGGGGGGCTTTTGAGTCTTTCTCTTTGAGAAACATAAATTCTTCAGGCACATGGAACCAATTGCAAAGTTCTTTGGATACTGGGCACAGCTTCTTGCTGTGGTAATTTTAACTTTTCTTGAGATGGAATTTGATATTTTTTTAAAAAAAAAAGAAGCAGAAGCAGATAGTTTCTTTAATATATATATAATTTATAACATTTTTGCCCCATCCTACCTCCTGGGAGTTCAGAACTGTGGACAGTGGGTGCCTTTATCTTGTTTTCATTTAACATTTAAAAGTTGACTAGGTTGGTAAGAGACTGTGGTTTACTCATTTAGCTTCATGGTATAACTGAAGATTTGACCCCAGACTTTTCTAATCTCAAGTCCAATAGTCCATGCACAACAGGAGCTGGATTGTTTTACACAAAATTGAACAATAGGGCAAGATGAGAGCTGATGGATAGAAAAATGACGTAGGGGCCAAAGCTGATGAAATGCTCTTCCCTCATGGGATAGTATCCACCAAGAATATCCACAGATAAAAAGCATCAAAGTAGTCATGTGAAATCCATATAAGTTATTACTGTTCTGTATTTACTACTTTTGCACATCTTGAAATCTGTTCAGAAACTGCCACACACATATCATGTCTATCATGAGCCAATTTCAAGCTTGCAAAAGTGCCAACATGATCTGAAAGTGTTAAATTTTAAAAAGTGAAATTAAATTTAATAATGTAATTTTTTTAATCATCTGATCCAATAAAAGAACATAAGTGTTTTTTGACAAGTTGAAACAGTTTTGTTATCTATGTTTGACCATTACAGCATAAAAGTCATCCAGAAAGCAGGTGCTGTATATCAAATTAGCTTTTTAAAGAAAATGGCTTCTCTGCAGAATGCTCTAAGTGATTTGTTTTGATTTTGCTCTCTTTAAAAGCTCTAACATACTTTTCTGTAGTTTCAGATAAAAAGAATGGCCTACTCGGTTCCAACACAAAATTTTGTAGCCATTTCAGATGTGCATCCAAATCTTGCTCGTCCTGTAGGTCTTGGTGACATAAGTCTTTTTTGTTCTCCAGTGAAACTGTATATCACTATATTATATTACTGCAAAATTATGTAATTGGTTTGTCTTTATATACTCACAGCATTGGCATAATTATTAGGCACAAAGTATGTTAGCTTCTCTTTGTGTACCCTCAGAAAGTGAAAACTGATACTTCTGTTGACCACAGAGTGTGGATGCCACAACTATTGATGTTGACTGGACAGTTCATTGACTGAAGTATCAGAGACTTCTTTGTATTTTCTTTAAATAGATGTTGTGTTGATAATTTCTACAGAGTCTGCATTATAGTATCACAATACATTGGAAATGTATTCTTTTGGACTATGGACACCAGATTGGAAGCTGTGAGAGTTACTCACATGGGTAGTCCCATTCATGCACAGCTTCCCTTGACTTCCCTTGAGCATTTGAAAAAAATGATAATTGAGGCAAAAATTTCCATCTCTGTCTGTTGTTTCTTAACTATTAAATGCATGTCAGTGTTCCAGAGAGAGCAAGGATTTGTAAGGATACTGGTGTATGTGCATATCTCCGTGTACTCTGTACTTAATAAGCACACATTGCACCTTTCAATCAGATCTGCTCAGAGTTGAGCCCTAAGGCATTTTGTCCCTATAACTTCTGCATTATAACTTCCTAGAACTCATTATGATCATTGACAGGTGAACCTGCTCATAATCTGGATTAAAAATGAAGGTTGAATTGCCAAACTGCCCGTTACATCCAAAGATCTTCAGCCTGGTTCTATACTGCAACCATTAAAGCAGCTAAAGCTATGCTGCTTTCTCCTATTTGTGATTAGTAAGCTGTAGTATCTCTTGTTCTCTCTCTCTCTCTCTCTCTCTCTCTCTGTGTGTGTGTGTGTGTGTGTGTGTGCTCACATGCTGATAGCTGTTACATTACAAGAGTTGCCAAGGGCCTTGCGTTCCACATCAATTCAAGTCCACACCCTCCTGCAAAGCCCCTTGGCAAGGCACAGCTGCATCATGCAGAAGTTGCTGAGCACTGGTACATTTGTACCAACATCTCTAGCTGCCCAATTCACATGGCAGAATCAACTCACAGGACCAGATCAAAGGGATAAGGCAGGAATGGGGAACCTGTAGCCCTTCAGACATTGTTGGACTCCAGTTCCCATCAGCCCCAGACAGTGCAGCTAATGGACAGTGATGTTAGGAGCCATAGTATAACAATATTTGGAGTGCCACATGTTTCCCATTCCTGGGATAAGGTGCTATCTTCACCTGGTACAGTAATGATGCTGAGACAATGGCACTGGATCCCATACTTCAATGTTTGCATTGGGCTGTTGAAACACAAATGGTAAGAACCAGGACTTAGAAAAACTAAAAAAAATGTTGCATACATAATATGGGTGGCAACTACGTACAACACATTGAAAATGTATATATAGCTTTATTGTTTTATATTTATACTCTTCTCTCATTTATTTTTGATATAATAAAAAGTAGTATTATTTTGCAGATGGCTGTACTTGTGCGAGTCTTAAACCTCGGAATAAGACATTTAGTCTGCAGTCGTAAACATGCTAATCTGGGAGAAGTAAACCTCACTAAACTAAATGAGGCTTACTTCTGAGTTGACATATTTAGGATTGTCATGTTAGTCTCATTACATTCAATGTGGATTACTCTCTCAAGGAAATGTGCGTAGGATTGCAGCCTAAGGATTATTAAGTATTTTAGGGACCAACAACAGAGAGTTTTGGGCCTGAAACTCAGATGACTTACTTAAAGTCCTGACAGGGGCAAGAGAAATATATTTGTATCTCCCAGGACTTTACTGTTCATCCTAACACAAACGGCACACATACTACCGTATCGTGAACTCTTTGTTGATTTTAACATAAAATAAGAGTTGTTACTTCCTCCTATCAAAAGTTAAAGAATGTATTACAAGGCCATAGATTTCTTCAAGGGATGTTTCTTTGGCACTGAATTGAAAGCACATGAAAGATTCTCTTGTGGGGTGTATGTATTTGGCCACAAGATTTTATTTAGTGTACAGCATTGAGAGTATCAATGTATGGACCAAGCAAGAATTTAATTGTAGTTTTACTTGATAAACAAATAATGCTTTCAATCTGGAAAAGAAATATGGTTTATTTAATGTCAGACATAAAGTAATTCATATTGAAGGAAGCTAGTAGTAGACTTTATAGTGTGTGACTTTATAGTGTGTGACTTTATACATGTGAATCAGGAAGTTTTTAACATTTGACGCTTTATTATGTTTTTATATTCTGCTAGAGAAACCCAGCCAGACGGGTGGGGTATAAATAATAAAATTATTATCATTATTATTGTTATTTATAAAAGAACTAGCTCCGATAAAATCAATTCTACAACATTATTTCAAATAATATTATATATAACTGAAGCACTATGTCACTGTTTTAAGTTATGTGAATGCCAAAGGTCAAAATGAAGTAAGATGAAGATATAGAGTAAAAATAACGAGTTTGGAAAGTGTCAGCAGAAAATCCTGGCAAATGGACACAGAAGTTTATTTTCTCCTTTTGATTGGTTAAATGGTATAACTAAAATATCTCAGAATTAAGGATATCTAAAAGAGGTTTAGGAATATTTCTCAAGCTTTTAATTTGGAATTATGGAATTTCACTTTGTTAAAAGAGTCAAATAATGTTGTAAATATAAATTTTAAGAAGACTTTGAAATAAATACTATTGTAAGCAGAGTCTTAGAACGTATTTGGGATTCCAAGAACCAGCTCTCTATTATCAGCAGAATTATACACAAGATATTCTGCCATTTAATTAAATTACTGTGAGTTAGGAAATGAAACATTTTGAATGCGAATTAATAGAATGCACTTTAAGAAAGCTTTCAAAGACCTGAGGGAATTATATTTCATTGCAAACATACCCTGAGTGAACTTATCCAGATAAATGCTGGAATAGTTTTCTTGCCCCATCTAGTGACTGAAAGGCACATAGAAATCTGCAAGCCTATTTTTCAACAGGTGTTTTGTTCATTCTGTTTCCCTGAAACCCAATTCAAGAATGTAATGTGTGCTGGTTTGGGGGGGGGGGCGTAAAGCTAAGAGACCTAATGTTTGGAGTCCTTTTAGGATATGACTTCTTATCTTTGGGGGGTTTTTAAACTAAGGCAGTCAGTTCACTAAACATTACAGTGTTATTGTTTCAACATTACTGATACAAATCTGCAAAAGCATCTTTGTTTGGTGGTAATTGTTGCCTTTAAGCATAGATATTTCCTCTAAAAGTCTAAATAAATGCATATTTTAAGGGCTTAATGCACAACATACCCAAATTCATTTACTGCTTCCCCATGCACCTACGTTTTTAAAAAGCATAGCAGTTTCTGAGAAAGGGAAAATTCATGTGGAGAAGTGGTAGAAAGGGAAAGTTTATGGAACCCCTACCTTTCTTCTGTGTCACTGTTCACAACTGCCATTTTGGGGAGTTCATTTAGCTTAGCAAAAATGTCTGTTGTTTAGCTTAGCAAAAATGACTGTATGTAACATGCAGCTAGCTACCCTGCTGAGAGTTCATGATGGTATAGTAAAAAAATAGGAGTTTCTTTAATAGTGAAGAAAAATAGAAATGCTCCTTTTATGCCACTGTGCAGACATGGGAAATCACATGGCCTCCATCTGTCATGGATACTTTAGTTGAGATTCCTGAATTGCAGGGGGTTGTACTAGATGACCCTTGGGGCCCCTTCCAACTCTATAATTCTATGATTTAGATGACTCAGGAACTTGTACCCTAATTGGTTTGACTTTGACATGCCCTTAGCCTATTCCGCAGTGTGCATAAGCTGCTCACTGCCAGTGCAAGTGTCAAAAAAGTGTATGTTTTCAGGTAAACATTTTCCTTACAGAGACAGAGAGATGTGGGGTCTTTATATTATTTCCCAGTCTTCATCTTTTAATATATTGAGAAAACCACTTAGGTTGTTAATTTATTGATGCTTCTGTAGAATAAGTGCATTAAAATAAAAACAGTTAAATATGCTTTTTATTACTGAAGGACAAGAGAGTCTGTGAAATCAAATACATCCTGTACATCTGTATTTGATGTATATATTCTGTAATCTCTTTTTTTCCCCCAGAGTATAATTGGTATGGTGATTGGGAAAACAGATGCCAAAGGCTTTCCAGACAGAAAAAGTAAAGTTCTTTTAAGCCACAAATTCTCTTTTTTTCTGGCTCTATCTTCAATCAATGGTTTTTCTAACCAAAAAGCATGTGCATCAACTGGTGGGGATATTTTATGCAAAAACTATACTGAAATTAAAGTGAAACAAAGCTCTAAGAGAGAGTAACAACATGTTAATTGAAACAAGCATCTCATCAACTTTATCCCTTGCTGAAACCTGGCTTAACATTTTTAAGGGCACCTGCATCTGCTAGGGTTAGTTAACATAGCACTGAATTTCCCACTATTTTGTAAGCATCTGACGATATCTGATGATAATGGAATATTTCATTCCATGCAAAGTTTTTGCCAAAACAATGAGGCACTTGCACTGCTGGTCTCTGGCTAAACTGCAATTGAACCAGCCATGGCACCATTTTTCTCCCATTCATGAAAATATAATATTTTAATTAAAAAAGGAGTGACCTCTAGTGGTAGTTAATGAGATTGTTCTCCTTTGCTTTGTACTAGCTGTTGGGAACTTTTGGCCCTACAGATGTTGCTGAACTACAACCCATTCCCAGCCACTGACCATTTGCTGGGGTAGATGAGAGTTGTAGTTCAGCAACAGCTGTATGGCCAAAAGCTCCCCTCACCTGCTTTATACCTGTTTCTCATTAAGTGATCCTTTGTCCAAATCCAGCTTGTCAAGCTTTTACAGCCACTCCTCTTCCTCTCTTATCAACATTACTTTGCTCCTGCTGCTGCTGCTGCTGCTGCTGCTGCTGCTGGCACCCCAGCACTGACCTCCATATTTCTTTATCATATGCCATATGCACATCATAAGGGAAAATGGCGGCTGATACTATGGTGATGACAGCCTCCACAACCAATAGGTGTCTGAGACAGATGACAGTTCTGAAGTCAATTTGATTGAGGTGGGCTGTTTTTTGCCATGACTTAACACTGGGCAGAATGTAACAATAAGTACACATAATATTTTCATGTGTCTTACACGGAATTAAAACTTTTAACTGGATTCTAAAACTGTCTCTGTTTCTTGTCACTGCAGATATTGGATCAGAAAGGTACACTTTTAGCTTCACTGTCCGCGATTCGCCATCTTATTTCATAAATGTACATTCTTGGGGAAGAGAGGACTATATTAAATCACTTTCAGAAAGCTTTAGAGTTGGTGACTGTGGTGAGCTGGAGTTTATTCCGAACATATTTCAATTTCAGTATGTTTCCCTCCTCTTTAAATCAGTATAATGTGTTGTGGTCCTAGTGTGTTATCCTTCAAAGAGTTGTGGACTATTTAATTGGAACCAAATTTTTTAGTTAGATTGAGTGAGAGGGGGAAAAGTAAACTAAAAAGAACCAACAAGATTCAATCTAATAAAGCTGTCATCAAGAGACATGGACTGAAAAAGTAATCTCCCAGATTCCCTCTCAGATGCTAAGTTTTTACTGTTTCAGTCTTCTAAAAATGGTCCATAAATTTAATAATAATAATAATCCAGCCAGATTTAAGCAGTTAAGGCTGAAATTGTATGCAGGTACCCAGGAGTAAAGCTGACTGAAAACCATTAGAACTGGATTGCCAGTGTCTTGCTGAATGAACTTGTAAGCAGTCATTTAAATCCATACTTATGTGGCTTTCCACTGTTTTCCCTTTTATAGTCATAATTGAAAATCCTTTAGTTCAGACAAAAGAGGCTGAAAAGGAAGAAAAATTCAACGCTACAACTCCTAGGTAACTGTAAAGTCAGAATCTTATACCCTAAATAAGACTAAAACATGTATACAAGTGGCATATTCAGATTCTTGATACCAGATGATACAGATGTTACTCTTGAAAAATTTATATAGCTGTCTGGCAAGGGATTAGTTAGTGTCCTCCACTAATGCTACAAAATGACCTGACAGCCAAGCAACACCAAACAGTTATTGATTAGACATTGTGTCCGGATTTTCACTTTTTGAAATATGGCAATTCTAACATCTCTTAACTCTGAAACTATCGTAATACCCTGTACTGCAGCATAGAAATGAATATTAAACTCAGGGCTCATCCACACTTACCTTTTGCCCTGTGCTTTCTAGGAACAGGTCCACAATTTAAAGTGCTGTATTTGAGGGGGCCCCCCTTTTTTTTGCCCTGGCACTTTCCCTGAGAAAACCTGCTCTTTAATGCTTAATCAAAACAAATGTCAGTTTGTGTCTCCATAGATTGCCATTTGCTCTGATTCAGCAGTAAAGAGCAGGGTTTCACAGGGAAAGTGCAGGGCAAAAAAAGCAGGCACAGAGCTTTAAAGCATGGATGCAGCACAAAAGGAAGTCTGGAAGAGCCCTCAGTCAACGTATATTAGGTATTATTTGGCTCCATTCAATGTAAGTATATTGCGTAGAAAACTGCAAAACCCCTGCATTTTGCAGAGCCTCAGGAACTGAGTAACTGATACATCAAACTGGGGTTCATAGTTAATACCCCAAAATCCAAAATTGTCTGGATCACTTGGAACTTGTGCCAAAGTTTTGCAGTGGTTTTGCAGCAGTTGTACTCGCACCAACTCTGTGAGACGGAGAGATAGTGAGTGGCCTAAGATTGGCTGATGGCTATTTGCATGGGGACTCTATCAATTACATCACACTGGCCCTGTATTTGCTGAATTACAGCTTTTTTCAAGTCTTGTTTTGAGCAACCTTAGGTGTTAACGGCTCTTAAAGTACCTTCAGTTACTCACAACAGATAGCTGAATTGCAATGTCAAAAGTATTTCTTATTGCAACACTAAAATATGCAGAACTATCTGCTTCCAGAGCTTAGAGTAGGTTAATCATCCATTTCCCCCCCCCACCCCATGAAGCGGTGTCACTGTCAACTCTGCCTGCCAATGACTTGACTTCTGTTTGTACAAAGAAGCCACTATTCTCTGGTATCAATTGTAAAGTGCTTTTCACAACATCAGTATAACATCAGTATTACAATAACCCATAACAATTCAGAGTTCATCATATAGGAAAAAGCCTTTAGTAGTGATGAGTAAAGTATTGTTTGTGTTGTGCATGTCAGCTGCTACAAACTACTCCTCAGTGAGAATCATTCCGTGGTTAAAATCTGTCCCCACTATGAAGTTGACACCAAACTACTGTCCCTGTTGAATCTACCTGTGAAGAACCCTCAAGATTTTTACTCTCTGGCGGACATTGCAGCCAATGGACAGAGCCTGGAAGGAAGAATCATTAATATTCTTGCAGCTGTCAAGTCGGTAAGTCAGAAAAACTGTAACATATTGTAGAGCTTCTACTGTAGCCCGGTGGTCAAATTAATTTATGTATAGTTAAGGATTTATTGGACCATCTCTGATTGGAGTTGTCTCCTTTTGTCTTGGTCAGCAGCCAGTTGGCTTGATTTAATGCCAAGGAAGGTTTGCAAGTAATATTAATGAAAAATCTCATAAACAGCACATTTCACAAAGCCTTCATGTACCTAGGCTGCCACCCTGAAACAGCACAATATAAGGAAGTTTATTTAAAGTCTTTTGACATTCACACACAGATTAGTTTTTAACTATAAGATTAAGCATGAATGCTAAATTGGTTTATTGATTTAGCACATGTCTCACTGACCCTTCATCTTTGTCCTCTTAAGAACGTAGGAAGAGCCCTGCTGAATCAGGGCACAGGCCAATCTAGCCCAGCATCCTGTGCTCATAGTAGCCAACCAAATACTTAACGCATGGGTAGGCAAACTAAGACTTGGGGGCCTTATCTAGCCCAATTGCCTTCTAAATCCAGCCCGCAGACAGTCCTGGAATCAGTGTGTTTTTACATGAGTAGAATGTGTCCTTTTATTTAAAATGCATCTCTGTGTTATTTGTGGGCCATAGGAATTCGTTCCTTTTTTTTTCTTTCCAAAATATAGTCCGGCACACCACAAGGTCTGAGGGACAATGGACCAGCCCCCTGCTGAAAGAGTTTGCTGACCTCTGACTTAAGGGAAGCCCACAAGCATGACATCGGCACAACAGCACTTTTGCCACTGAATAGGAATATGCTGCCTCCAACAGTGGCGGTTAAACATTGCTGTCATATAGCATTAAGAACATGAAACACTTTACGTTTTCTTTCTTACATACTCCATTCAACGAGGGCAAAATCCATTAAGAAGTTCTCTTGCACAGACCCCATTGCAATTAGCAGGACCTATACAATACCATGGGGGACGCGGGTGGTGCTGTGGGTAAAAACCTCAGCGCCTAGGGCTTGCCGATCAAAAGGTCGGCGGTTCGAATCCCCGCGGCGGGGTGCGCTCCCATTGCTCGGTCCCAGCGCCTGCCAACCTAGCAGTTCGAAAGCACCCCCCGGGTGCAAGTAGATAAATAGGGACCGCTTTCTAGCGGGAAGGTAAACGGTGTTTCCATGTGCGGCTCTGGCTCGCCAGAGCAGCAATGTCACGCTGGCCACGTGACCCGGAAGTGTCTCCGGACAGCGCTGGCCCCCGGCCTCTTGAGTGAGATGGGCGCACAACCCCAGAGTCTGGCAAGACTGGCCCGTACGGGCAGGGGTACCTTTACCTTTACCTTTATACAATACCATGCTAAATGCCATGGTGATTGCTGTGTGCAAATGCCATCCAAATCTATCGAACTGCGCTACTTACTTGATATCACAAATCACACTTGTCTATACAAGTTTCTGGCATCTTCAATTAAAAAAAAAAGCTGAGTCTACAAGTGATGAGAAATACCTCTCTCTGCCCAAGAACTTGAACAGTAATTGCTACTCAGAGTACACAATACTGGACTATATGGTCCACAGGTCTCACCTGAGTTAGTATAAGGCAGCTTCATATGTTTACCAGAGTGGGGGGGGGTATCTGCAAGTCTCCAGCCTTACGTTCGCCACCAGTTAGTGATTATCTCCTGCAAATATCATTTTTTTCCAGCTGATTTTCAAGAATTCAGTTGGGCTTACTTTTTATTTTGGAGACCCAGTTGAAGAGGGCAGGCAATAAGGAATGAATAACATTTATAGGGAAGAATCAGCAAGCAAAGGGAGGCTTAAGTACCCACTCTTACCCGCTGTTATCTCCCCTATAAGTGCCTCAGAGGAAAACATGGGGTTTGGTGATCTATATGTCTCCTTACAGTGTGCAGTTCTGCCCTTAGAAAGTTGCTATGGTAAATGCTTTTCTACTCTATTGCAAGAGTACTCATGTAGTCTTTTGAATGTAAAAATGCAATAAACTGGAGCAGAGCTGCTTACTCTCCTTCAGCAATGCCCTACAATTTTGCAAGTCCTTTATTGGATTCATTTGTCTGTGAAGAATGAGGTGCACAGGCACACTGAGAGATTTTTATTGCAGCCAGCCCTGCTGAAGTGTTTGTAGTGCAGACCAGTGGTGGAAGCTACCCATTGTGACTGCTGGGGCAGAAGCCAGGAAGGCTAAGAGTAGGCAAAACCAGGGCCAGTGGCAGGCAAACCCAACACATTGTAGTTTTGTCCCCACCTTCCTCCCTACAAGAGCAATAATGATACTAAGGGGGAAGAAGCTGGCAGCCAATGTCCCCCCCTGGACCTGTTGTAAGTGCAATTACAAAAGCTGGGCACCACCTCTCTGCCAAGTGGTACCAAGATTACAGGGGGTTTGAGGCATTCACCCTGGGCTCCTTTGGAGAATTGAAGACATGGTGGATACTGTTGTACCTTTAAGAAATATGGTTTATCAACATATTTACACATTCAGTCTGCATGAAGGGAGTCCAGATTTTACAGCAAGGTCATTTCAAGAGGGGGTTGTTCCCCACAGCAGTATAGCACTGGAGGCAAAAGTATTTCTCCTAGCCAACCTGCCCAAAATGCATCTCAGTCTTTTTTCTCCCTTCCTCTTCCCAGCACACCTTGCTAAAACACTATTTTCCTGTCACCCCACACCTAGCTACCCTGCCAATCTGTCTACTCAGGCCAAAGATTCCTCTTAGAATGGACCACCAACACCTTTGTCATGTTAATGTCTCTATCCCAGGTGAGGCACTGGCTTGGAAGAAAGCTTAGCCTGTACTTTTCCACTGGCCTCCAGTTCTTCCCTTCAATACTCCAAAAACCAAAATTCTACCATTTATTAATTTCTAGGGTTTGGGGGATCCCCCCAATCTATAACACCACAAAGGGAGTCAGGTGGCAGCTGGCTAAGAGCAGAGTAAGGCAGTCTAATAAACCAGACTTCACTGGTGTAGATAGCAGACACATAAAAATGGGGATACACTATTGCTTTTGACAAGGTTGGTGTGTGCACAAGATGAAGATTGCAAATCATTTGTTGTTCACTTTACAAAGATTGGAGAACCAAAGTATTTCACCACTTCGGACAGACGAAAGGGTCACAGATGTGAAGTAAGGCTGTATGATGAAACCGAGTCTTCCTTTGCAATGATATGGTAAGGTATTCTAAATCACAATCCAACTATACCCATTAATACAAAAATAAGAGGCTATACTGAACATAAGTACATATTGCTATCATTAATTGAAGCTTCTTATTAATTGTGTGGTGTCTCTCATGATACAGCCGCATTCATTTAATGGCAGTAATATCCATTAACTTCTATAACATACAAGGCTGTCCAATAGAATGGTCTTGAATATATTACCCATTTCTATGAGTTATTGACAATTTCTCCCCTAAGGAGAGGCAGAGTGAAACAAAGCTGCAAATCAATTACAAAAGGTCATGTGGAGATGAGGAAATAAAAGAAGCCATTTAGTCAGTCAGACCATTGATGATCATTCCTGTTCAAAGCAACATATTGTCAAGTAGCAACTATAGATTAACCTTTGCGTAAATGCTTATCATCAAGACTTTTATACATTAAAAATGCTTCATAAAATTTCTTAGAGAACATGTAGCAAATACTGTATTGAGAATGTAAGAGGAGCCCTGGTTAAGATTTCTCTTTCAAGAGAAAACTAAATAAACACCGCTGCTCTTTTAGAAAAACCAGATTACCTAGACAGAGAGGGAAGAATCTGGATAGAAAAAGAGCTTTTAATTTTTCAGTCCTTCTTGTGTCTGGGCCAAGTGGCATTTCCATGTTCTGAAGCCACAAGGCACAATTTAGTAGTTGTCATGTGCAAGTGCTCCTACTGTTCCAATATGCGGATAAAGCTCAATGAGCATAGAAGGTGCTCTCATCTTTATCAGCTAGTGAACATTCTGGGAACATACCGGTACATTTTCATAGACGAGAATGGAAAGCTTCTGCATGTGTGGGGATTTGAATTTGAATTTTGAAACAAGCTTTATTCTGGTTGCACACACTCAACACATAAATATAGGTTAACATTTCAAGAACTGAAATGTAAGTTAAGAATGTAAATTGGTTAGGTGCAGAGCAGCTGCTGCTATGCATGAGACATCCTGCTGTGTGCAAGACTGACATCTGAATCCACAAGTATTATAATTTTGCTCACTTTCCCTTAGTCACTCAGCCACTTGGTCACAGCCATGATGCTTTTTGTATAGTTTTGACCTGTGCTCTTATGCTTATACAGTCTGGGTTCAGCATATGCCTCATAAACAAGGGATTCCCTGCTCCAGGTGTCAACCTCTTACAAATAGGACCTCCACACTTGCTCTGCAGTTCTCTTCCTGAGCGCTTGTGACTGCTTGTTTTCAGAGGCAGAGTAAGATATATCTGTTTTGCAATTTGCTCAGCACCTATTCTGCCTTAAACCAAAGGAAAAGCAGTGCCCAACCTGGTGATTACAGAATGAACAATGCAAGTAGGGGACTGCAACCTAAGATGGGGAAAAGGTGGTGGTAAGGAAACACTGAGCTACTTTAAATGAATTCATATCTCCAGGGCCTGATGAGCTACTGCAATGTGCTCTACATGGGGCTACCTTTGAAGGTGACTCAGAAACTACAACTAATACAGAATGCAGCTAGGACCTGAACCAATGGTTCCAAGTTACAAGAAAGAAGATCCTGATTAAATTCAGGAAGAACTTTCTGAAAGAGCTGTTTGATGGTGGAATAAACTTCCACAAGAGGGGGTGGAATCTCTTTCCTAGGAGGGTTTTAAGCAGAGGTTGGATGGTCATCTGCCACGTATGTTTTAGTTGAGATTCCAGCATTGCAGGGCATTGGACTAGATGATCCTTGGGGTACTTTCCAACTCTACAGTTCTATGATTCTTTGACATTTGTTTCTTTTTATATTGTTGTATCATTTTAATATTTGGAAGTTGCCCTGATACAAGAGTGTCAATATATTCTATCAACACAAATAGAAAATATTAACATTTTAAACAAATAAACATTTGTATTAATTGAATGCTACTATTTTTCTAGCTGGGACAATGAATCTATCCAGCTTGCACAGAGCTGGATGCCACGAGAAACAGGTACTTCTCAGTTTTTTATATATAGTATTTTTGCTGAGGTTATCACTAGTGTAAAGCTTTGCCTGTAATAACAAAATAATAATAAATAATATTTTTCTTCCCAGTAATATTTGCATCAGATGTAAGAATAAATTTTGACAAATTTAGAAATTGCATGGTTGCAACTGTACTCTCAAAATCCATCATTACTACTAATCCCGGTAAGACACAATTCTAAAACCTTGTTAAATTGTCATAGAATGCCTTATATTATCCTAATGCTTTTATTGAAAATTTATCTATTTATTTAATATATTTATTCTCTCAAGTTGGTATTCAGGGCAGCTTAGAACATTAAAATATGATCGCTTAGGACTTTAAACGCAGTTCTACTTGTTTAAAACCTACAGAATAATTCCCTGCCCATTTGCAACATTGAGTTTCTTTATGGCAATAGTTTAATACTACCTGTTTTACTAAGTGCCCAGCTCTATATCTATCAGTACTTTCTTTTTTCTTTGTACATTTCAAAAGTTCCATCTGTACTTCTATTTCCTCCTAAACCCTCACCTGTGTTCAGTCTATGATCCTTATCTATTGACAATGCTACAATCCATCCTGCTGAACAGACACAAAGCCTTGGCTTTCTTTAATTTTCCTTTATTCCCCATATTTAGTCCATTCTATGTCATTATCATCCTCACACTACTCAGCCATCTGGAGATTTGCTCCTTCATTCATTCACTCACTCTTGGAACTACCTCCTAAAAAAATGAGATGCCACTTCCCCCTTTTCCTTCAAAACCCATCTTTTATAAAGCTTTTGGTAGAACTCCTAGTCCCAATGCCGTTCCTGTTTACCCCTGCCTCCATTTCCTTCTTCTCCCGTTTGTCTCTCCCTGTGATGAATTGTAGATTGCAAGTATTCTGAGCAGTACCCTGTCCTCTTGGCACCATACACATTGATGATGCTCTATGTATATATAAATATTTGTATAGAAAATACGTGCCTTCATTACATATCTTTAGGTCCCAGGCAAAAACATTTTGCTTTTCCCAGGCCTTTGCCTAATTAAACTATGGCCTTTTAAACTAGGACGGGGTATTTCTCCTTTGTTATTATGTATATTTGTGTTTTTATACTGTAAACTGCACTGTGATCCTCAAATGAAGGGCAGTATACTTAACTTGCTTACTAAATAAATAAATAAATAAATAAATTTCAGTCCCACATGTCCTTATTAAAAATGCTATAATATATTATGACTGGGAAAGACCTCTGCCTATAACAATGGAGGGCTACTTCCAGAAAGATTAGACAATTCTGGGATAGATGGTATCTCAATGTATGATCTTAAGGCACATGAGGCCACAACCTTGCTGAAGCTAAGCAGGTCTGGGTCTGACCCTGGAGTCCATGACAGAAGAAAGGTGGAATACATGTGTAAGAAAATACATTAATGGATCATCCACCTGCTTTACTATAAGGTGATCTTATAGGTTTCATTTCTATCAACACAATCCTATATGTGTTAATTCAGACGTAAATCCTGTTGACATCAATGGACCGAATGCCTTGTCTGTAAAGAATTACAGCAATGTCTTTTCTGTAGCAGACATCAACCAAATACATGGAGCTAACCATTTAGCTAAAAAATCTCCCACAAACTATTTTGGCATTATGCAACTTTACCTTTATTAATACTGCTTTGAAAAATATTTTTTCAAGATACACCAGAAGCAATCAATCTACACAACTTTATAAGAGAAAGTGCAGAAATGTTAGATTTGGATGATGAAATGGGAGATCATTTCAGAGATTCCATAAATGGTGAGTGTTTACCAAGTAGTCCTTTAATCTGATAGAAATATATTTTTAAAAATTAAAAAATTGTCCAGTAGCACCTTAGAGACCAACTAAGTTTGTTCTTGGTATGAGCTTTTCTGAGGTTGATGGACTTCCATTTCATTTCATGCAGCTCAATGTGGTGCCTTCCATGGTTCTAGATTCAGGTATCTGAATCTAGACTGCTATATATTGCTTAGATTTACCCTTCTAAATGCAAACAGTTCTCAGAACACAGGCTAACTTTTTTGCTGTGTTTTTTTAAGGACAGCATGTATTCAAAGTTTTTGCCACATACTTCAGAGGCAAATGTATGTTAAAAGTTCTCATGTACAATCCATTTGATGCTGCGTGCCATTCTGAGAACTATTAACTGGGAAGTATGCTATAAACAGGGAAGTGTTCAGCTATCATGGCTCAGAGAATAAAGAGTGGACTTCAGTCTGGGAAATCATAAAAATTAATTAAAGTTTAACTGTTCTGGTTATAATACAAATGAATAACAGAGTCTTTTCTGTCCAATGGCATATTATGATTTTAGATGTTTTTTTTCTTATGGTAAACTATATTTTATTGAAGTCCAAAGTCCACTAGTCAGTGGGAAGTTTTTTTCTGTCTTTAAACTTCAGATCAAGTCCCTTTTTAAAAAGACAATCTTACTTCTTTTTCCTGTTATCTTTAGTACAGGCAATAGTTGATGTTTATACAGTGGAGCAATTAAAGATGAAAGCTTTGCAAAATGAGGGAAAATCAGAACCTTTCTATGGCATTATTTTTGCCTACATTTCTACGCTGAATATTGATAATGAGACAACTAAAATAATACGAAACAGATGGTAAGCACCTCATTAAGTGTCCTGGACATTTATCCTGCTCCTCACTCCCATTCCAAATCAGCTTGAAAAACTTCCATCTCTCTATTCCTCATACCACTTTTTCCTCCTAACTCAGCATCAAAGCCTTTTCTGAAGTACTGTAACCTTATCTAACTCGCATGTCCAAAGATTCTTTGCTCTTCAGCCATCCTTCTTTCTTGCCTTTGAGCCAAGATAGCATGTCTATTCTATATTATACATTCTATTATTGTATACTCATAATTAAACAAGAAGCATATAAAAACAATGTGACAATTTCATCAGATATAATGAATAGGTATGTTAGATGCGTAATAACTAAACACACGTTCATTCATTTAAAATCTTGCCCTCTTTTCTTTTCTGCAGTAGCAAGTGCCACTATGTGGTCAATGAAGGAACAAACTCATGCTCCTTCTGTAGCAGCTTTGTCTCCTCCTCAGATGCCTCACTACTCTTTGCCAGCTTTGATGTACTAGTTGATCTGACAGACCACACAGGCACTCTCCATTCTTGCAATCTCTCAGACACAGTGGCTGAAGAAGCTTTAGGCTGCACGGTAAGAATGTATTAGAAATAGATCTCTTCTATTCAAGTTTATGGTTCAGGTTGTGTTTAGCACGTATCGAGAGCCTGAGGTTTAATGCATTGCACCAGTGCTGCATCTGATGAAATATACTCTAGCCCCCAAAAAGTTATGCTGCAATAAATTTTCTGATCTTTCAAGGCACTTCAAGGCCTGCTTGGTTTTGCTGTGAACCTACTGTATGTATGCACTTCTGAAAACACTCATCTTCCTTTTGACTCATGCTTCACTTCATGCTTGTGTGCACTGCATACCAATTAAGTTGTGGTCACTCCATTAGGTCCAGGAGTTCCAGACTCTGACAGAGGCTCAAAAAACAGCCCTAAAATGGCACCTTCTTCTAGAACGAAGCAAAATTTATTTTAAAGTAAGTATAGAAATAAGAAAATACAAACTTAAATGAGAACCATTCTCCATGACAACCCTCACCCTATTAACATATTCTGAGGAATCCATTATCAAAGTTTCTTTTAGTGAATCAAGAACTGAGATTTGAAAAAGGCGTTTTCTATGATTGCCAATAATATAGATCAGTTTATCCAGCAAGTTCTGCAGGAGGCAACGCCAACCAACTTTGGAGGGGCAGGTGGGGGAATTGTCAGCTTGTACATTTTCTGGTAGATAACAGATTTCTGCATGTAACTGCTCATCCAAGCAGATGAAGTTAAAAGTAGCTGGTGTGTGTGTGTGCACGCGTGAAGATTTTCTGTGAGAAAACAAGGTCAGAAGGACTAATAGCCCTCTCCTGCCCACCTTCTCCTTCAAACTGCCACTGGACACCATAATATGTAGTTCTAACTTTATATCAAGTTGCATTATCTTCTTGCAAACTGTATTTTTCGGAGAAGTATTTTTTTTTAAAAAAAAATCTAATTTACTTCTATAGGTTATTATTTCGCCCAGTTCACGAACCGGACTGAGAGTTAGTTTGCTTTCTTGCAAACTAGCAGATCCTGTGGAGGCCAGTCAAAACCTGCCTGGAAAAGACCTACCTTGCCCAGCTTCAAAACAGCTGGAAGGAGTCTAAGTTGTTGTAATATGGTGAATTTACATCTTTTTTGGGGGGGGGCGTTGCATTCTCATTGCAAAGATGCTAGAAAGTGTGCTTTATCATTCATGTTTTAAAACTGTGTACTATCATTTAAGGAAGTTTACCTTAGTCCATCCTTCACCAAATTGGTGTCCTATCAGTTGAAACTGATGAGAGATCTAGTCCAAAACATGGTGGGTTTATAAGGCTGGCAAAGGCAGCCTTAGTCTGACTTCAGAGACCTAGGTATACTTTCTACATTCCCTTTAAAACAAAGTTTTCATTCCATGTATAACATATTTGAGGAAAAATATACTTATGAAATTGAATTTTTTTCTGCAAGCCCATTTCTTTAAATTTTATATTATATGAAAAGCAGGAACTGTGTTCTGTGGGATTTCAGACAAAATAGATTTAAGTACATTGAACACTATAAATGCCAAGTTTTTTTATTTCAGACAACAGCCACATGATACAGTGTGTCTGAAATTTATTGAGGCAAGTAGATAGAAGTTTTGTTTTATTTACACCTTAGTATACAGTTGCATCAGACTTCATTACAAAATATATTCTAAATTTCACCATATTTCCATTTTGTATGTGTATATTTTAATATAATTTCCCCTGTTGAACTCTATATAAGCAATCTAGTCTGGTAGAAAGTAATAATTATTACATTCTTTGACTGTGCTCTTCAGAAAGGCCACACTTAGTTTATAAGAAGGCCACACAATCGTTTATGATGACAAGTATAAGCCATAGTGAGTATAAGCTTGCACGTTCCCCCCTCTTCCTATGGCACGTCCATCAATAATTTGGAAGCTTTCACTTTCAAACCATAGTTTAGTGTGTTGTCTTAACCACATGTTAATGTTAACTATTGTTTGTTTAAAAAAAACCAGCTTCATAACCTATGGTCTAGAGTTTGCTTTGTTCAACAAACCATAGTTAAGATTAACCAGTTTTGGGGGATCTGGATGACAGCAAGCTGCAGTTAATCTAAACTGAAAGTGAACTACTTGCTGCTGCGCCAGACCCAAAGAGGAGAGCAAAGAGTGTACAAGCCTGAGGCTTAGTGTGATGCCTGAACACTGTGAATATATTAAATGCCCAACAAGATGGGCTTCCAGCCCTTCCATTGACTCACTCTGTCAATGTGGAAGAAGCTAGAACCTGAATGAGGGGAAAGCCAATTTTACTTGGTTGCTATATAAGAATCTAAACTCCCAGTCTATCCTGTCCCACAGGAAAGGAATGGTTTAGTGTCCCTGTGCTCTACAGTTTGAATCTGTTCTTAAGGTAAAAGGAAACATCCCCTATCAAGGCCGGCATTTCTGCCGAACTACTTGAAACCGCATGCTCAGCACCCCCTGGATCCCAGCTTCTATTTCATCATTCTCTTGCAAAGCAGAAACCCCTTTTGGGGTTCCTGTTAGGATGACATCCCCTTCTTCCAGCGTGACAATTCCACTGATGTAGCTGATGATGTAGGGGATAGAGAAGATCATGTCTGATGTATCTCCTTCTTGCCGCATCTCCCCATTTACCTTTAGCCAGATCTTCAACTGGTGTGGATCTGGGACTTTCTCTTTGGGCACAAAGTCACTGACTGGACAGGAGGTATTGAACCCTTTGGCCATTGTCCAAGGAAGCCCTTTCTTCTTGCATTCTTCTTGGGTATCCCTGGCTGTCATGTCCAAGCAGAGGGCATAGCCTGCCACATGGTCCATTGCTGTTTTCTGGGGAACTGCCTGGGCTCTCTTCCCGATCACCACCCCAAGTTCCACTTCATGGTGCAGCTTATTACAATAGTAGGGCTGGATGATGGGAGAGCCTTCCCTGACATAGGCAGATGATGGCTTGAGAAAGAAGAGCGGCTCAGTTGGGAGGGTGTTCTTCAGCTCTTTGGCATGCTCTGCATAATTCCTCCCCACACAGATTATGTTCTTGCCCCACTCCCAGAACCTGGCCAAAGGCTTTGAAGAAGTCATTTCCCCCTCTCAACAATTATACTTCTGCAGGACAATGAGCTCTGAATGAGCTAGAACTTTGCTGCAACAGATGCAATTTCTTCACTTCAATCTGGCTGCTTGCTTCTCAGCTTGGGGAGAAAAATAAAACAAAGATCTGTGGGTAAAACTCAATACATTTCCTTCCCATTCAGCTTCTTTTGCTACCAGAAATTCTCAATACAGCTGTCAAGCCCCTTCTTTGTACTTCACAATGCATTAGCCTCATTCACACATAATACTAAGCCAAACTATAGTTTAGCATGAACGAGCAAAGATGCAGTCCACAGTGAGAAAATCCTGGCCACTTAGCTACTTCCCCAACATACTACCTAAGACATGGTGTGGCTTAGCATGACATCCGAACCCAGGCTTGTGGTGTTTCCCTCAAGCAATCCATGAGCAGTTGGCAAAAAACACATTGGTTACAGCTCATGGTTTGCTTGAAGCAAGACAAATCATCATCCCAGGTTCAAACATTACACAAAGCCATGGCACGAAAGGAACAGGAGGAGCAAGGCAGGCACAACTTTCTCACTGCACCAGCACACTTGCTCATTCACACCATAGCTTAGCAAACCAGACTGTAATAATCACTAGTAGATTGTAAGTGCAGGAACATGGGTGAAAGCTTGGGACTCCCTGTTTTATGGCTGCCCAGCTCAGATTCCTGTCACCTGGCATCAGTTTGTCAGACACAGATCCTAAACAAGGCAAGTAGTCAGAACTAGAACATCTCCAAATATAACAGCATGAGCGTAGCCATTTGGGGGGGGGCAGGCCTTTTGTGGGGGGGGGGGGCAGGACCACAGTTTGCTATGTATTTTTATTGATTTTTATTTTCGGGGGGCAGCTGCCCCTCCCTGTCCCCACTTCACTACACCCATGTATACTAGTCACAATAAGAAAAGAAAAAATTCTATCCCTCAGTCCCCCTGCCCACACAGTTGGCTAAGATTCTGTGCATTCTGCCCCTTCTCAAATGCACTTTCTAATTATTTTAAATGTGCCAGGCTGACTCCAGGCCCTGAAATATTCTGGGTGTTTGGGCAAGCCTTGTTTCATCTCCTAAGAGATCTACTTCCCTAAACAGGGGCACTCTGCGTGCGCTCAAAGACTCGTTATTTCTGTTGTTATACCGTAGCAAGGCCTAGCTCAACCGTTTACCCTTTGCCGCCTCCGCCGTCAGATACAGGTACTTCTGCAAGGGCGGTCTCATTTTCTGAGAGGCGCCCGCTGCAATCCTGCTTACCTTTCACAGTCACACATCCCTAAAGGAAAAGAGCCGCCACTCTACTGCTCCCGTCTCGCCTTTTTTGCAAGGACGTCAGCCTGTCCTCCAAATGTATAAACGCCCCGCCCGGCTCAGAGTCCGGGGAAGCGATTGGCTGGCTGAGGCGGGTCAGGGGCCAAAGGGAAAGGGGCTGGAAGGCATCTGCACCAAACAGATCGCCCGGCCGGTGCTTGTGTAAGGGGGCGCGGAGGGTGCCTGGTTGCAGCCTCCGCCTTGGACCATGGTCTGCGGGGGCGGAGGGAGGATCGGCGCCGCTGCCGCAGCCGCTGTGTTGTTCTTGGGGCTCCGATCGGGTAAGTGGAGCCGCAGAAGAAGGAAGCGTCGCCTCCCCTTAATATTGCAGGGTTTGGAGCGCCGTTATCTTGTTAAAAGTTATTATTGAAAAAGCGCCTTTTTCGGTGAGGATCCTCTTGCAGCTGCTCTTGGACGTGTCCTTTATTGGAGGGGGAATCGTTTTCCTTCTGGTCGCCCGCAGAGCACGAATTGCAAACCGCATGAAATCTCTTGCATGACACTCGGCTTTTAAATGATGAGTTAAAAAATAAGTTAATCTTCACTGTAAGGCAGGAGACCCTCAAACCTCTTCAGACCCCCCCCCCAACCCAGTCTGGAATATAGACACACTTTCTCAGGACATATTTACAGTGCGCGCATACTGGTATCTATTTATAGCTATTCCTTTTCGCTGGGAATTGTCTTGTGGGTGCGGAGGCTGCAGATCTCTAACTAAGAATCTGGGGGACCTGGATGAAGTAGAACCCCCCTTGGGGAGTATCTATAAAACTTCGACGGATATAGAACGTGTATAGCATACAGCAGGCATCCCCAAACTCGGCCCTTCAGATGTTTTGGGACTACAATTCCTATCATCCCTGACCACTGGGCCGAGTTTGGGGGTGCCTGGCATACAGTGTAGACACACACGCATTCTCTCTCCTTTCTTCCACCTTCTCTTTCATTTTATTATACGTAGCAAAAGTGGTGTCGCTGGTGCAATGACATTTGAGTGAGACTGACCCACAAGTTGCTAAATGTGTTGGCGGTGGGGGGCGGTCAGCAGCTGAAGGCCCCTGAAGCCATATTCCCCTCCAAACTCGCAAGGGCTTAAGTTACCAGCCTCAATAGACACAGGGTGGAGGCGAGTTGTTGAACAGGAATTAGCTCAGCCTTATTTCTCAACTGGGTGGCGCTGTGGGTTAAACCACAGAGCCTAGGACTTGCTGATCAGAAGGTCGGCGGTTCGAATCCCTGCAACAGGGTGAGCTCCCATTCTCAGTCCCTGCCAACCTAGCAGTTCAAAAGCACGTCAGAGTGCAAGTAGATAAATAGGTACCGCTCCAGCGGGAAGGTAAACGGCGTTTCCGTGCACTGCTCTGGTTCGCCAGAAGCGGCTTTGTCATGCTGGCCACATGACCCGGAAGCTGTACGCCGGCTCCCTTGGCCAATAGAGCAAGATGAGCGCCGCAACCCCAGACCCAGCCACGACTGGACCTAATGGTCAGGGGTCCCTTTACCTTTACCTTTATTTCTCAACCAGGTGTCCTCCAGTTGTTTTGGACTACAACTCCCATCAGCCCCATACAGCAAGCACTAGGATACCATGGCTGATGGGAACACAGCCATGCTTGGCTGGGGCTGATGGGAGTTGTAGTGTAAAACAGCTGAAGGGCAGCAAATTTGGGTAAAACTGCAACAAGGCATTGCCAAGCCTGAGGGAAAATGAGCTGCAATGAAATTGAATGGGCTTTCCTGTCTTGCCTCCCAAAAAGTCTGAAATCGTGTTTTGACATTAAACAAAACTTAGTCTGGTGTTTCTTGATTGTATGGGCATGCATGACATCTCATC